ACGACAAATACTTATTAGTATCTTAATATGATTTAAATCAAAAATTTATATAGAGCGCCCTCTATGAAACAATAGGGGAATCTGTGTGTCACCGTCAAATGTCAAATTTTTATATTATAAAGGTTATAAATCGAAATGTATTTCTTGAAAATTGACAGTTTTTCGCAGTAAAAGTAAAGAAAATGTTTTATGAGCACTTTACAGTGGAGTCCGTGCCCGAATTTAAGTTATAGTTTACTGCCGGCGAAATTAAAAGGTCAGTACAATGTTCATATAAACTTTTCAAATATTGGCGTTGAGAAACTATTTAATACTTTTGTATTTTTGTATTGAGATAATAAAATAATTTTCACATTTAGTATTATTTTACAAGAAAGGCACTTTATTTTAACGATTGTATGACATTTGACAACTGTCAAAGCGCCATAAACCCACAACATAAAAAGCGTGTATTTAAAAGGTCACTTAGTGTCATGGAAACATGTATGTTAAAGGGCGTTTTAAAGGTGGGAGTAGAAAAAATTTATTTAATAACAAAATTATTATTATTTTTGATTTTCTGACACAAACTGTCAAAAAATATATCTGTCAACATTAGGTGCCTTACTTGGGTTGTTTCCATAACAAAGATTGTTGGATGTGTAATATTATATATGAAGGAGTAAAAAGCAAAAGGGTACAAGTGCAAAAAAGAGAAATGGTTGGGTTGGTTGGTTTTGCTACATACAAAACTTTGGATACTTGTTTCAATATTGTTGTTTGTATTAATCAACATGCAGAACTATTAATTTAAAAAAAAATAGACTAACTAATTCTGCACTTAAATTATTTTTATGATAAAATGCACTTGTACCCTTTTGCTTCTTACCCCGTCATATTATATCAGCTTATTTATACAGTCAGCGTTCCAAGGTTTTTTTAAACCACTAAAATTTTTGTAATTTTATAATGATTTTAAAAAATATTACATTAAAAAATATTACATTAAACATGAAAATAAGAAAATTAAAATTGAATTTTAAAACTAGTCATTAAAAAATTGTATATTGTATGAATTTTCAAAATATTCATTATCTTATCCACAATCTTTTTTTAATAAAAAAATAAAAGAAGTAGCTATAAAAAATATTCCTTAAGGATTTGTAAACATTTTTACATAAGTCCATTATAAAAATTAGTTCAAGATTAATGTATTAGATTACTAAACACAAGTATATTTACAATAGTCCATAAGCATGAAAACTTTTTAATAAATTGAAAGATAAAAAAGTATTAAAATGGCATAATATATTATGCTTGAAAAGTATACACAAAAAACTGAGAATTATTACCTTAAATATAATTTTAAATTGTTTTTAAGGTGTACTTTTCCTTTAAATTAGTGCTTTATGTGTAATTACTTTATAATAATATGAAACACGTTTGGCATTTGTGATTCATACATTTTTTACTTAATAACTAACTAGTCAATGTCAAAGGCCATCGTATTTCCGGTAAACTAATAAAATTCTTTAAAAAGTGATCATCGGTCGATGATGGATTTCTGTTAATGGCCCATTTCCTGAATAAGTTATAATCAGTACACTAATATTTAATATCTAATATATTCTTTGGATCTTTTAAAATACTGTCATGCACCATCATAACCCAATAATCAATCAATACTTTAATGACTTAATATTACTTTTGTTTAGTAGATTGTTATATCACGGCAGAAATACGTAAAGGCGTTATTAGTTTTAATTTGAAGAAAAGTTACTTCAGGTGCCGTATTTTTACGGAAAAAGTGCCGAGTGCATCTGAACGCATTGAAAGAGGGAATATTTTGCAGCGGCTTCAAGATTTATTTGAGTTTTGCATTTGTTATGCTGTACTTAGTAATTATTTATTAAAATTGTTTTATGTTTAAACGATTTAAATGCAAAATAAATAATGATTGTACACATTTGACTAAATTAGTTATTTAATGTTAAAAGTGGCAATTTAACATTTTAAGTATCTAAATAATTTTTAAATTAACGTTCAACACACATTTCTTATCTTAACTTTAACCGGGGGTCGAAATAGCATTTCGCCCAAGGACTGTTAGCTTAAGTTAGCTTTAAGTTAAAATTGAAAAAAAGTGAGGTTAAAACCGCTTGGCAGTTGTCAAATATCAGATTGGCTTTAAATTTTCTGTGGTAGTTAAATAAAATATTGTGTGTTACCATACTCGCTACGCTAGTGTAGCAAACTTCACTCTCGAGGAATCTCCTCTTTCTTCATCTAGTCCACTAGCACATTATACTATAATAATATCGCGATCCGTGTTAAAAATGAAAATCGGAGTTTAACTATCAGTCAGCGCTAGTGATCGTTAGAGACGATGTGTCAAATTATTCCCCCCATAAAATATTAGCTATTTTCGCGGAGCTAATCCAGAACTAATTCCGGACATCCTAAGCATGCGCTTTTTAAAATTTGGGGTTTAAAATGTAAAGTCGGAACTAGTTCGGGATTAGCACGGCGAAAACACCTATTATCTAGGATTAATAAAATACTTGTTCTTACTACCTCGACTCAAAATACGTTGTTTCGTCCCCGATTCCACGGCAGAGAGTTTACGTTTTATGCATTGGTCAAGCTATACGCGCACACTCTAATAGCGGGAGTAAAAATTTTTTAGTCGTGTGCTTAACATTCAAATTTCGTACTGCCAACAGGAGAAACACAAAAATATGACAGTTTTAAACCATAATTTTGCAATTATAACAACAAATAAACAATTTATGTTTTTACTTTTTTACTTTTTATGTTGTTTTAAGTGTTTAATGGTTTATTTGTTTTGTTTGTAAAGTAGTAATTTGTTAATTAAAAAACAACCTTTTATTTTTACTGTATTGGCACCGCTGAATTCACGGCCTACTGTTATTTATTTATCAAGCTCTTCAAATGGAGATAGGTACATAAATACACATTTAATTTTTTCCCGTATTTTCAGCCGGGTTGTATTTTCGGCCGAGGTAGTAAGAAAAATAGTATACACTACACGGGCAGAAAGTGTGAGAGCCCTGAACTGCGCGCCATGATGCCCTCGGCTTCGCCTCGGGCATCATGGCGCGCAGAAAGTTTACGTTTTATGCATTGGTCAAGCTATACGCGCACACTCTAATAGCGGGAGTAAAAATTTTTTAGTCGTGTGCTTAACATTCAAATTTCGTACTGCCAACATGAGAAACACAAAAATATGACAGTTTTAAACCATAATTTTGCAATTATAACAACAAATAAACAATTTGTTTTTACTTTTTTACTTTTTATGTTGTTTTAAGTGTTTAATGGTACTTTTATTTTTTATAAAGTAGTAATTTGTTAATTAAAATACAACCTTTTATTTTTACTGTATTGGCACCGCTGAATTCACGGCCTACTGTTATTTATTTATAAAGCTCTTCAAATGGAGATAGGTACATAAATACACATTTAATTTTTTCCCGTATTTTCGGCCGGGTTGTATTTTCGGCCGAGGTAGTAAGAAAAATAGTATACACTACACGTGCAGAAAGTGTGAGAGCACTGAACTGCGCGCCATGATGCCCGAGGCGAAGCAGGAATCTCACACTTTCTGCCCTTGTAGTGTAATATACTATTTTTAATTAATATTGGACAATTTTAAAAATTCAAAATGCTGTAACACGAACAACAAAACCTAGAAAAGTTATTGGACACTTATTTTATTTTGTCGACCAGTGTAATTTTAATTATAAAATAAAGTTGTAGATGTAAATTGTAAGAATGTAATACTTGTTATAATGGATATTACTTAACAGCAACATTTGTAAACAAATTAATTTATAAAATATATTATTTGACTTGTATACCGTGTGTGTTAATAAAAAGAGGGGTGTGTTTTGTATATAGGTATATTTATAAATATACCTATATACAAAACACACCCCCCTTTTTATTAAATTAATTTATATTAAACATTTGCCGTTTGAAAGTGCAACTGTTGAGAAAAATCAACATTAAATAGTAAAAACACTAATGAAAAAGAAAAGACTTTAAAGTTACTTAATTAGCTTAAAATAAAAATGCTTAATAACATAATTTCTCAGCAAATTAATTATTAGCCACAAAATATTGATTAATAATTTAACACTGAAAAATGAGACATGCAAATTTCCTGGTATTATTCCACGAAGCTAATCTTTAAACGAATTATTCGTGGTGTTTTTTTTATAACACATGGTTGCAAATGACTACACAACATCCTACCATATTTGATAAAGTGAGTCATCTCTAAAACCGGCATCAAATATGAGAATAATTTCTTAGCAATGAAACTCCCAAGTGGAAAATTATCTAATGTAATTTGCAAACAATTTGATTTTTATTCTTTGATAGTATTAAATATGTCTACCCTAAAAAGCGTTAGTCAAGGTTTTCAATGGAATATTTAATAGTTTTTTGTTAAAAAATACTTCAAGGGTGGTCCATTCAACTTTTATCAATCAAATTATTTATATATTGTCAACGTATTTTTTCATCTTGCGTCAAAATATACAGCGACACCAAATAGGAGTAACTTTTTTAAAATTCATTTTATTTTTGGGATTTGAGACTGTTAGTTAAAAATGTTTAAACGTTAATGGATCACCCCACAAACGATTAACATAAAATTATACATTGCATTCCTTATAAAAATAAAATCTAAAAAATATTGTGGCATTGAAAAATAATATAATTGTTAATATAATAGAGATCCCTGGACTCTAGGTTATTGGGTCCAAAGTAGTACTAATAGGTTCTGTAAATAGTTTCTTAATGTGAGAATTTTGATCGAATGCAAATTCTTAAAGCATTTTGCCAACACATTTCATATATGAAATATATATATATGACATCACGTAAAATATTTGCACTAGACATATACGTATAAGTAAAGTTATTTCAAGACCTAACGAGCTAGCCAAATATTAAATCTAGCAAAAAAATACAATATTAATGTGTCAACTTACCTTTCGATATAGCTTGATCCAGGTGAGATCTCCCTTGGAGTCGGTGTACTGGAGCCCGAAGAACCACACCTCTCTGAGGCCGATTGTTTTTACCACCTGATCAAAGAGCTGTTTACCGGACGTGGTCTGCTGGATGGCGAACTCCAGCTCCGCGTCCATGGTGGTAACCCGCACATTCATCTGAAATTTGACAAAAACAATTTAGAACAGTTTTAATTCTTAACTGGTAAGGTGGGGTTCTATCCGACCCCATCAATACAAAATATCGTTAATATTTTAAGTCAGAGGGACTTTAGGTCACTAAGTGCCTTGGTATGCTTCAGTCAGTTAGTTATCGGTAGGCAGTTGGAAAGAGAACGTCTAGTAGGTCATAATTATATTTTTATTTTGCGCGAAATACTTAATGAGGTACGGGGAGATCCCACGTCACCGTTTTTTTTCATTGGAATTGCTATTTAAAAAAATAAAAGTAAAGCCGAGTTCATATAGATGCGAATTTGCGAAATACGAATATTCGCATTTCGCAGCTCCTATTCATATAGATGCGAATTGTCGGAACCATTTTAGGGACATTGTTTTCTCACTAGGCAATATTTGCCATGGTATTTTAGGGACATTATTTTCTCTCCAGGTGATATTTGCCATACTTGGTTAACATTTTCTATAGGTAGGTACTTCTAAAAAAATATGCTACTATAAGGTAAAATAAGAAACTAATGTACCTCCAAAAACTCTTTGTCCATTATAAAGAACAAAAAACAACTTTAGCAAGAAACATTTCAAATAAAACTCAACAACGATGCAATACAAATGAAATAAACACAGAACATAAACAAAAATGGCGCGGGTACATATAACAAATACGTATAATAGGCATCTGCATTAATGCGCATGCGCATCACGCCAAATTCGTGCGATTTTCGCCAAATATTGGATCAATCTCAAGATTCCCGCCCCCCAGATTTCAAATCTTGCGAATTCGCAGAATCTGTCGAAACGTCGAAACACTTTTCCCGCCAAATCAAATAGACCAATGAAAACATTTTCGCATTTCGCAAATTCGCATGTCGCATCTATATGAACCAGGCTTAACGAACATTGATATTGGAAATTTTATTTATTTTATTTTGTTATGTGTAAAATATTGCTTAGGTACAGTTGTATTCATTAAAAAGGCGTACAAGAATTAGAATGAGATAATACTGTTAACATTATTGCGTAAAACCGGCTTTCCACTGACTTAAGTCACTATATCTGACAGTAGAAAATAAAAATACCTCGTCAGTTATCTCAAGTTGAAAAGGCTCAATTAGTATTAAGAATCGAAGAAGGATGGTCAATTCCTGCTATAGCACAGTTTTATGATAGAAATAAAAAAAACTATATTAAAAATTAAGCAACGCTGGGAACAGGAAGATTTAATAAACCGAAAAGTTGGTTCAGGTCGTCCCAAACTATCCACCCCTGAACAGGATGCTGCTTTTTTGGGATATTTAAAAAATAATCCATTTACAATAGCGAGGGATGCTGTTGTTGATACAGAATTTCCAGGCTCTCAACCTACATTCAGCAAAACGGTCACGAAATCTAAACAAAAAATACCAGCTGCAAAAAAATGTTTCTTACAGAAAAACGAAAACAATCAAGGGTTATATTTGCATTAAATTACATATACCGCAATCCCCAACGGGGAAATTTTTACTGACGTGTCGTCCCGATAGTACTAGGTTTGAAGAACTGTATACCAACAACCCCCTTGCTTCCTCGCCGTTTCTCTGTGAACTTATGGAGCTGGATAAGTGTTTATGGATATGGTGTTTGTTGGCGAATAGAGGGAATGTTTAATGCCGAAAATTATGTTAAAATTTTGGAGAACAAACTGCTACAATCTGCCCGAATAATACCTACCTTTATATTTCAGCAGGACTGCTGGGAAGATATTAATACAAATATTGTTTTCAATTTAATTCAGTCAATCTCAAATAGATTAGCTGAAGTAATGGAAAACTGCATTACTAAATATTAAACTTTTTTAAAATTGTTTGTTTTTTTTTTCATTTAAAATAAAAAAAATTGTAATATTATTTAATTAACCTACGACGTCAATGCTCTGTATAACCTATATTAATTATTTTAATGACATGTCATCGATAAGCCGGTTTTAAGCTATACTATTATTATGACAGTCTTCTCTCATTCTAATTCTTGTACGCTTTTTTAATGAATACCACTGTACCTACTATAGTTTCTGGCCCTACTTATTGATCTGACAAAAATTGTGTCGCAATTTATAAACAACACTATAGTGTTCCGCACATTATAATGACGAATGTAACGATGTATACATCGTTCTATAGAAACTGAGAGTAATGGCAAAATACACGACTGTAGCTACGGCACGAGATATACAGATAATCTAAATAAACCAATTGGATCAGAAAGTAGCGGCAATATAAGTTTATAAAAAAGATTTATATAAAAGAAACCGATACAAATGGGTAAAAGAATCTGATCAGAGGACTGACACAAAAACATCTCACATCAATCTAGTCAGAAAAAAGAGCAATAACAATTTTGATTTTGTAATTAATATTATCTATTTCTACATTGACGAGCTGTGACTTTATGGCGTTTTAGTCACAGGCTAAAGTTAGCAATAGTGGATTTTGAGCAGTTTAGTTTTTATTATAAATTGCAAAAAAGTGCGGTTAAATTTGTCAGATGTTAAATATTTTACAATTACAATTTAAATTCTTCTTTGTGTTCGTAGATAAAGTATAGTATTGTTTTATAAACTTTTCTAGACGCTTCGCTAGTGCCTAATTAAACTCGTAACTAAAATAGCTTTTATAAAACCTGATCCATTTTAGTCACGGGCTGAAGTTAGCTTTATTATAAATTAGGAAAAAGTGAGGTTAAACCCGTTTAAAGTTGACAGATGTCAAATGTCTAACAAATAAAATTGGCTTTAAATTCTTCTTTGTGTTTGTTGTAGATAAAGTATACTGCCCTACTATGGAGAAAGGCAGTAACTGCAAAAAAATGCAAAATGCGTTTTCTTGTGCTATGGTAAAGCTATGGACATTTTGTAACCGAATTCAATACAGAAATGCAGTCAAATATCTCATAAGTTAAAAAAATCAATTAAATACCTACTGCTTTTTATAAAAATGTAGTTTATGCTAATTTTCTACAAATTTCTTGTTTAGCAGTTACTGCCTTTCTCCATAGTAGGGCAGTATTATACTATAATAGTATGCAACTCGTTTTATAAACTTCTCTAGACACTCGTTTTTATTAAACACTCGCTTTCAAGCTTCGATTGTGCCTAATAAACTCGTAACTAAAATGGCGTTTATAAAACTTGATAAATAATATACCATTGTATTATTCTTTATTTAGTTCCTTTAAATAATATAGTGTTCTTTTATATTTTTTATTAATAACATGAGTTACGTTTTTTTATTTGTTACGGGATGTACAATTCTTTAATTGTCATTTTGTAATGAAGGTAAATCCTTACATATGCGTGTATTCTTTGTGTTTTAAATTACCTCTAGATGAAGTTAGCATTTTTTACAGTTTTTGTACAACTTTAAGTTATTATAAATTTTACATATTATAACCGCTTTTATTAAACCGTAACATAATGGATATTATTAAAAATTTATTAAAACAAAATTCTTTTATAAATAAAATGCAGTAAGGCCTAGAAGTTTAATTTAAAAAAAATCTAATAAGTGATTTTTATTTTAAAAGTAATATTTTTTAAACTATAAAGGATTGTACCTAAAAAAAGTTTGATTGTTTATAAAAAATTAACAAGTGAATATTTTTATAAAATGTATGTAAAGTTATACTCCTCTATCGGGCTTTAAAAAAGAATGTTATACAATTCCGACCCTTGGAAAATTCAGAGTCCACTTCAGAAAGCCTTAAGGTCCATTTTTAATCAACTCTCGTGCTAGAGTGGGAGTCAGACTCTGTCAGAGTGCAAGCTTGCTTTGATTTCATAGTATTCATTTTTATTAAAATCTGACTCCAGCGGATAATAGCTGGCCATACACAGACGTTATTGCGCGCGGTTTATCGTGTTATCTGCAAAAACATATGGAAAATCATGTACGTGAGTGAGTATCGCCGCGCGCAATGATAGAACGGGAAGGGATTTCAGACGTGCTTTCCTCTGGAGTGTGGCGTACATCATTTCAGTGTCCACACGCCACCTTTTTCTATGCACGCCACATTCCGCGTCATGGTTTACCTTTGCTTGGAAAAATTTCACGTTGAAAAAAAATTATCAATTTTTACGTGTATTTTAAATGGGAAATCTGTATACGCTTTGGTAGAGTACTTTGAGTTAATATTAACACGTTCGCGGACATTAGGTGAAAATGGATTTTCAAAAAGCCTCTACAATAAACACTATTGTGATGTTATTACGATAACCACAACGTTAGCATGGACATTTCAAGAAATTTTAAATTTTCTGCTGGGACAGTAAACATCTGTTTCAGGGAATTCATATGCACTTAAGACGGCAAACGCCGCTCAGAACCCAGGAAAAAATAGGAAAAAATTATAATCAGTCGGCATATCCCGTCTTGTCCCTGCATATAGAGCGGCATATCCCGCTCTGTCCGTGAACGTGTTAAGGGCTCACATTTTCAGGGAATATTTTTTTGAACATTTTCAACAAGATTTTGAGTTGGGAGCAAAAAAATAAAAATAGTCGTGAAAAAAAAGCAACCTAATATATATCTTTTAATGGTACCAAAAAGTTCATGGAAATACCTGAATAATTGTGATTTTTAATTCAGTTAATTTTTATCTGAATATTTTTTATTTTTTGGTATTAAATTAATAGTGCTATTGATAGTTTAAATTTTGTATTGTGTAAATAGTAAACATATGTACTAAGTACAAATACTACAAAATTGGACAATAACACATGTCAAAATTGGGGGTAATGTAAATTATCTTCACTTTTGTTGTTTTGGTGTAGTTTATTTGTTAATTATTATAGCCTATAATTTATAGGCCCTATTGAACTCTTTCTAAATGCAATATTATAATATACATTATAATACGTATATGCACTGTAAATAAACTATGACAAGCTATTTTTTTATGAAATAACAATTTCACATTTTTCAAAATCAATATAAAATGAATGGTTA